CCCGAGCTGCCCCGCGCCGGAACCGACCTCGGACAGAGGGAGCGGTCGCGGCCTCGCGGCCCGCGCGGGCTGACGAGCGGAAAGCGCGGCGCCGAGCGGTCCCCGAGGATCCGCACGCCGGGCAGCGCGGCCCGAGCAGCGCGAGGAGCAGCGGGCGGGCGGGCGGCGCCGGGCCCGGGCCGCCCTCGCTCCCGCGCCCCGGCCCCGCCGCCCGCGCCGGGGCGGTCGCCCGCAGAGGAAGGCGCTGCAGTCTCTGGGCCTCGCGGCTCCACTCAAGCGTCCTCAGCACCGAGGGCTCGCGGGTCCCGAGGGGAGGAGGCGAGCCCGGGGCTGGGCACTGAGCTCTTGGGCGCCCTCACCCCCGTTTTCGAAGCCCTCCACGCTGCGGCCGCTGTCCCCTCCGGACCATGGCCGACGACGACGTGCTGTTCGAGGATGTGTACGAGCTGTGCGAGGTGATCGGCAAGTGAGTCTCCACGCGAGGGAGAGGGAGAGGGAGAGGGAGTGTGGAAAAATGCATTTTAGTGATGCCTGGGTCCTCCCGCACCCGCTCCGAGCCTGCCCCCTGCCCGCCCTCCCTCCCCTTCTGCCCCCCTTGTCCTCCTCACCCTGGAGTATTTATAGACGTGTACCTGGATCTCCTGCCAGGCGGGGGTCTGGGGGTTCTCAGCGATCCCTTGAAGCCGACGAGCCGAGGTTGGCCACCCCGTAAGGCGTGGGGCCGTTGCCTGCATTTTATCTGACGGTTGCACAGGGACGTGGCAGAACCGATTTTATAGTTGCTTCCTGGGAGCAGTTGGGGTTATTGTTACCTTGTGTGTACCATAGACCATTTATGAAAAGAGCAGCTTGCATTTTCTTTCCTTGCATGGAGCGTCCGGGATTTTAAATTGTGGGGTGTGTGTCTATTGTGCAGGATATTAGACAGATGCCTTTGTGTTCACCCCGTGCCCGGATTGGAGGGGGTCATTTAAAAGGGGGAGCGTTCAGTTTCAGCAAATTCCCTCCTGGTGTAGACAAACGTGGAAAGAGTTGGGGGCATTCGAATTTTTAATACCTCGTTATGCAACGACTGTTCAATCAATGCTTGAGGCTCCCCTCGACTGTTGTTGGGATGGTGGCTAGCGTGGTAGAGCCGTCTGCTTTGAGTCACCGGGATGGTCTAGAATATAGAACTGACAGTCCAAATGCTCATCCTTTCATCTGTGTTGTATAATTACGCTAGGGAAAAGCCGGGAATCAGATTAATCACAGTACTGATTGAGAATTAAATCTGCAGTTCCTCATCTAATTGTCCATTCCTTAAATCTATTTTGAATAGTTTCCTTTTCATTCTTGTCAAACAATATTCCAAGTGCACAATCCTGCTAATTTGCTTGTGAGGGAAATGCTGGCAATCTGAAGTTGATTTCCTAGCACAGCGTGTATTCTATGGCTTTAGAAGTTGAGGAGATAACATTTAAGAACAATTTTTGCTTACTTAATAAGGATTGCTAGATAACTACCATTGAAATTTTTTACCTTTTCTTTGAGAAGCGGTGCTTTATTGTCTATTTTAAGGTCTGCAGTTGAGAAATGAAACTAAGACCTTAGAGCAGTTGGCTCTATTTCTTTTAAGTTGTCTGCAGTACTCAATTTCAATTTGTTTGAGTGCTGATAACTCATTTTTTTCTTTCCATATTGAGGTATTACCGTGTTGCCTCACAGGGTGAAATTGTGGATAGAGCTTGCTACACACTTTACTCAGACCCGATTGATATGAGGACATGTTACTCCTTGCCCCTATTGTTACATGACCAGCCTGTCTGCTAGGAGTATATTCAAATGTGTGTCTTGGTAAAGTGCTTGTGAAAGTGCTCTAAGGCAGCGCTGTCCAAACGATATATAATGTGGGCCACATATGTAATTTAAAATTTTCTAGTAGACACATTTAAAAGATTGAAAACAAATAGGTGCAGTTAATTTTAATACTATGTTTTATTTAACTCAATAGATCCAAACTTATCATTTTAACATTTAATCAATATAAAAATTATTAATGAAATATTTTACATCTTTTCTTTTATGCTGTCTTGGAAATCCAGTGTGTATTGTACATTAAGAGCACATCTCAATTCTGACACTAAATTAAGTTTTTGTCAGAAATACCTAATTTGTATTTAAGTTTTATGAAATTTATATTTGCAAAAGTAGATTCACACACCCAAGTTGTTCCAAACATATGTAAAAGTTTTCCAATAGCTGAATCAAGTATCTCTTTCTAAATTTAAATTAATTACAATGACATAAAATTCAAAATTCAGTTCCTCAGACTAGCCACGTTTCAAGTGTTCAGTAGCCACATGTGAATAGCACGGTTCTAGAGAGAAAAACATTAAAATTTTCCTTGGTCTCTTCATTCTTAGGAGCAACCAGTGAAGGTAAATTAGGTGTTTTCCAAAAGCCTCCAAGTGACTGTATGTGTGGGTGAGTGATGTTTGTTGCGTCATAGTTATAGCCTATGTAAATGAGCCAGCAAAGTCATAATTGGAAAATGTGAGATTAAAATGTTAATTATATTGTGATGACGGAAAGTAGTCATCATTGAATCAGTTTTGGTAACTAGTTATGATTCCTTAAGGTCTGTAAGGGTGATGGTGTGATCTCTTTGGATATCAAAAAGAGGTGGTCAGCATCACAATAGCATATTCAGTATTCAGCTGACTTATAACTGATACAGTATTTTCAGGAAACTGTAGAATTAAACCAATCTCTTTTGCTAATTTTTAGGTGATAGGTACTCTCTGGCTACCTTAACTACTATGAACTGTGAAATCCATTCATGTCCTACAAAATCTGACTTGGTCAGTGCCATTTATAAAATGTCATTCCATGAAATAATGAAGTGAAGCTTCAGTGCCTTATTGTTAAAGAATGTAATGATAGTGTTCTTCACCCTCTGTAAAGGTTGAAGGTTTCTCCAGTATATTGTCTCAGTATACATTGATCTGGAAATTGAAATTAGCTTGAGATTTTCTTGCAGGGACCTTGACAGCATGCATTGTAACTTAGAATTTATTTAACTCTGGATTTAAACAGAAAAGCCTTGAAGGTGTTCACATGTACTGAAAACCTTTTGTTGATTTCTTTCCACGTTCTATAGAATTATTATTTTCTTTTATACCAAATTAGCATCACAAGCTGTTTTTCACCACTAGGTCTTAATAGGTTTAAATTTTTACTAGGGTTCTTTAAAATAGATTTCACTTTTCAAAACTAATTGACCTCCCACTCACTTCTCTACCTACCTACCCACCTACTCACACACTATGTATTAGGCCTTACTTGGTGGTGTAAATGAAAGTTCCTGTTTAATTTAGACCCTTTGGTGTGTTTTTTCCCTTTAGTTGGAAAGGACATCTTTTAGAGTTAATGAGGTTTTAAAGTATAAGATCATTATTTGGAATGTGTTTTCTTTCCAGTGGCTGCAGCCTTTACCCTTGTTAAAGCTAACTTTGGGGAACATGTACCTGATTCATTATGAATATTGAAAGGATACCATTTTCTTTTTTAAAAAATTAAAACTCTTTTCCCTATATTTCTTATTTTTAAAAATCTTGCAGAAACTCCTTTGAATGCCTATTGTTTCTATAACATTTTCTATGTAACACTTTTCAAGTTACTGAAACAAATCTCCAATAATAGGACTTTATCATAGTCCCAAAACTTCTTATCTTAGCAAATGTAGCAATTACCGGAAAGGAAAGACTTTATGCAAATACAGGTTAATGGCTAATTTTATATCATTAACATCTACTGTATCTTTTGCATTTATAGGTGAGTGTACAGTCAGTAATATTACACAAAGAAAATTTAAGGCAATTCATCCAAATTAAAACATAGAAAAATGCCTGCATTCTTCACAGAGCAGTGTCTGTGAAAGAGGATAACACAATGCACACCATTTTCACCTTGTGTTGGCTGAATATTTGCCCTGGTATTTAGTAACCTGTAGCTTCTGACTTTCCTGCTCTAGTAGGACATATACTAAAATTGGAATGATGCAGCATGACCCCTGCTGAAGGATGACATGCAAGTTTATGAGGCATGCTGTATTTGCTTACACCTCGAGAGCACTTATATTTAATTACAGTTACTTATTTATTACTCCCTCTAGCTAGCTAATAGGGAACTTCTTGAGGGCAGGGAACGTATCTTGCATATCTTTCTCTATTACCTAATAAAGTGCCTGCAAAACAGGTTTATCAATCTCAGAGCAATTTTCCCAAAAGACTGCATTAGTTTAAAGTAGTGTTTCTCCACCTGGCTGCATATTTGAATCATCAGGGGAAGCTTTTTTTAAAAGATCAACGCCAGGGGCCTGTGTCAAAATCAGAATCTCTGGGAATAGGTCCTGGCCACTGTTATTTTTTTAAGTTCTGTATGTGATTTTAATATGCAGCTATGATTGGGATTCATTGTTTTAAAACTTAGATTATGTATATAATATTTGGGGACTGGCTTTTCAGAGGCTTACAAGTTTTACAAAGTAGAATACATGTTTTTTGGAAAGTATTGAAAGTAAAGGACCAAACCATGGATTTTATCTTCTATGCACTTGTGTTTCTAGCATTGTTGTGTAAGAATTTAGTTTTAGCCTGTGCTTGGCTTTGATTTCTTGGGCATTTTAAAATCCACATTGATTTATGACATTCATCTAATGCTAACATGGTGATTGTCTGATGTTTGGAACAATACAGAACAAGGATTACTTCAATAACAGTTGATGATGGCTTTCTACTATCATAGCTTGATTTAATATTAAGAAATTTATCAGTTTACTATGGACTGAGTTTGTACATACACTCTATTAAAAGTCTATGGTTAAATTGCTTGTACACTTTAAATTCCATACTTGTGATTCCAATAATGCTGTTAGCCAGAGAATTGAGTTAAATGCAGACTTTATGTAAACGCTGGATTAATAATATGTAAAGTACATAATTTAGCATAGAGAAAAATTCAGCTTTACTAATTTGTGCTTATTGCTATGGCTTCCACATGTATTGATTGGTTCAATGATTTGGGTTTCTAGCACCATAGGGGGAATGTTACATCATGTTGGAAAATCTTTCATGTAAATTTGAACTAGACATTGTAGTTAAACTAGTTTTTAATGTTATGAAAAGGTCAAGTATGAACCTGAAAGAAACGAGAATTTTCCAGAAATGAGAAAATGTTCCATGAAAGAAATGTGTGATCACAGTGACAGCTGTGTAACAAGGTAAAAGAAACAATCACCAGCTAAATTGTTGGTAGCACAGAAAGAATCTAACCATGGCAATTAAGCTGCACTTCCACAAAGGAAAAACCTGTTAAACACAGGATGTGGATTCCTACAGATGGCAGCCTTATTGGAAGTAGGGAAGCAATGTTGATTCCTGATTATGGAGTTTGATTCTGAGACCATTTAGAGGGGAACAGAGC